GTTCACGATCTACCGGTCACAGTATCTACCCAGCGATCCCACTAAACAGCCATCTTTCCATATCACGGCCTACTTATTGCTTTCAGAATTCCCTCAACAGCTATTGTACTTAGGATCTCAGTTGTTCTAAGGACTGAAGGGGGGGAGCGGGTCGGTCTGTCGGCTCCGTGCTCGTCGTCGCCGCCCCGTCGCCGCCTCGTCGTCGCCCGTCGTCTGGGGCTTGGCTGTCGATATGGCGGCGGCGTGCTCGCCGTCGCCGCCCCGTCGCCGTTGTCGCCACCCAGTCGCCGCCTCGCATAGATTGCACCATATATATATATATATACCTATACGACCACCCTTCGGGTGATAAGGAGGTTCGGGGGGGGAGGAACCAACGTCTCACTCGATCGGTCTCACTATCGATCTCACTATCGATCTCAGTATCGGTCTCGCTCGATCGATCTCCCTCGATCGATCTCACAATCGATCTCACAATCGATCTCACTCGATCTCACTCGATCTATCTCACACTCGATCTCACTCGATCATCATTATCATCATCATCATGATAATCATCATCATCATCATCATCATCATCATCATCATCATCATCATCAACGTCCTCATCATCATCAACATCATCATCATCAGCATCACCATCATCATCATCATCATCATCAGCATCAACATCAGCATCAGCATCATCAGCAGCATCATCATCAGCATCACCATCATCATCATCATCATCATCATCATCATCATCATCATCTCATCATCAACATCATCATCATCATCATCATCATCATCATCATCATCATCATTATCATCATTCTCATCATCGCGGGACACCGCGGGACACTGGCGGGACACCGCGGGGCGCCGCGGGACACCGCGGGACACCGCGGGACACCGGCGGGACACCGCGGGCCACCGGCCGCCTGGAAGGGAGACATTTGGTCCGGCCGCGCCTCAGCCACACGGGACACCAGCGGGACACCGGCGGGACACCGCGGGCCACCGGCCGCCCGGAAGGGAGACGTTTGGTCTGGCCGCGCCTCAGCCACAGGAGACTTTCTTCTCGCCCGCCCACGCAGCTTCGCCTCGCCCGCACGCACGGCACGCACGAACACGAAACCGAAATCGATTTCCCGGTAGGGTGGCTCTCCGTTCCACTGCGATCTCACCCCCTCAACTCCGATATATATATATATATATATATATTTATATAAAATGTTTTTTGCTTTAAAGATCGTATCACTTTTGGTTTCACCACGTCGGTTGCGCCGCATATAGTGCGCCACATGGGTTGCGCCACGCAGGATGCACCACATATATTGCACCACACATTTTGCACAGCATAGATTGCACAACGTAGATCGCTCCTCATATAGTGCAGGACGTAAATTGCACGACGCAGATCGCACCACATATAGTATTGCTACACGCATATTGCACAACATATATTAAGCCACGTCGGTTGCTCCACATATATTGCAACAATTCTACTGCACAGCATATAGTGCACCATACAGATTTCACCACGTCGGCCTCACCACATAGATTTCGCACCACATGGATGGTTCCACATATATTGCACCACATGTCTTGCGCAGTTGAGAATACACGAAATATCTTGCACAACCTAGATTGCACCACGTAGATCGCTCCAGATATATTGCCCGACGTGTATTGCACGACATAGGTGGCTAGAAACACACTCTTTTGGGTCCACGCTCGCTCGCAACCACGGGACAACCGAGGGATAACCACGGGACATCCGCTGAACAACCACGGGAGGTTCCTGGGACAAGCATCGAACAACCACGGGACATCCCTATAATGATCTATTGGTCCCGCAGTCAACCTACGAATTCACTATCGATTTCCAAGGCGATCTCACAACCTATTGCTGCTACATCTTCTCCCCTCCCCACAGGCTTGTCCTCCCCTTCCCTCCTCTTGTTGTCCCCGTCGGCTCCTCCCCCTCCTCTTCGTCTTTCTTCTTCTTGCCCTGGTGGCTTTTTTGGGGACGCGCTGCACGGTGTCCGCTGCGACCGCTTATATTGCCACCGCGTTGCTCCCATGGTGGTCTTGGTTGCGCTATTGGGAAAGCCCTCTGGAGGGGCAGCGGAATTCGAATGTCCGAGAGGCAAAAACAAACAACCTGTTGCTGCTGCACTTCATTTTCGTTCTCAGTGGACTCCGTCTCCCAATCTGCTGTTGCACTGCGTATGTTTGGGTCGACGGAGCAGCCACGGGACAACCACGGGAGAACCCCGGGGCATCAATCTACCGATCTACTGGTCCCACAACCAATATGTCGGCATCGTTTTCAAATGATACAGGTCGATGTTGCAACCCATTCGTGCTACAACTCGTGCATTTTTGTTCTTGGTACAGCTTGAGGTTCTGGTCTTGATATATGTCGGTCGTGTTATCGATCTACCGGTCTCACCATATAACCCGTATGCTTATACGTAATCACTATCCTCATTATATCTGTCTATAAATATATAGGTCTCACCTTATTTCTATCTGGGACAAGCGCGGGACAACCACTCGTAATCACGCGACCTCTACGGGACCACCGCGGGACAACCACGGGCAACCATGCGAGAAAAACGGGACAGCCACGGGACAACCGTTTCAGAACCGTGGGACAACCGCGGGGCAGCCATGGGACGTCAATCTAGTGAATTTGTTTCCCACAGTCAATTTACCGATCCCTTTATCACTCATTTGGAATCGCAGTCTTACGCTCAACATCGCAATCTATCAGCATCGCAAGCTTTACTTGGATCTCGCTATGGAGTCGTCCACAGGTCTCATTACATAGTTGTCTTCTCATCGTTGTGTCGTTCTAGTTTTCAATCGATAGATCCATGTCGCTACCCATGACAGGTCTCACCACCCATCTTCAGACGGAACAGTCACGGGACAGCCGCGGGGACAACCACGGGCAACCACGCAGCAAACATGGGATGCAGAAGTGGCAAACATGGGAAACCGAAGCGACAACCGTGGGACAACCACGGGTCAACCATGGGACGACCGCGAGACAACCACGCGATAGCCACGGAAAAACCACGCGACATCCGCGGGACAACCACGGGAGAACCACGGGAGAGTTATGGGGCAACCAAGGGACAACCATCGGGACAACCATCGGACAACCACAGGACAACCATGAAGCAGCCACGGGGCAGCCGCGGAACAGCCACGGGACAATCGTTGGACAACCCCGCACACGCCCCAGACGGCGGTGAGACGGGTCGTTCTGGCGTGCGTGGGGCCGAGCTGCTAGTGCAAGGGCTCGCGCAGCCACGCCACGCCCGCACGCACGTCACGAACACGAGACGGACCGAAACCGGCATCGAGTTCCCGGTTGGGGGCTTCCGCTCCTCTGGGCCTCCCAGATGGGGTCGACGCAGATGGGGTCGGAGGGTTCTTGCCGCATCGCCGATGCATCGGCGATGCGAGGCGGCTCCATGCGGAGCCCGATTTTCTCCACGCCGGCGTCGCCGACGCGCCGCCGACGTCGCCAACGCATCGTCGATGCGTCGTCGATGCATCGGCGATGCACTCGCGATGCGGCGCGATCCTCCGACCCCATCGACTCGGACCTCGTCTGGGAGGCCTCTAGTACGGGGCGTGAAAACAACCACAGCCGCTGCTTTTCTTTTGGTGCCGCCTTCCAGCCCGCAGAAACAAAGCAGTGGTTGTGGTCATGTTCGCTGAGCTTGGCACCAGGGAAATGACCACAACCACTGCTTCTTTTTCGGCCGGCTGGAAGGCGGCGCAAACGAGAAGCAGTGGTTGTGGTCATTTTCCCGTCCCGCATCTAGCTTCACTTCTGCCTCACCCTCGCCCCCCGGCCCCCGAGCCAAGAGTGCCGGTCGCCGCTCTCCACGCCAGGGCTTTTTCCTCGGGCGGGGCCCTCGCCATATGGGGTGCGGCGGCCCCCTCCCGTCTCGACCGCGACAGGAGGAGGGAGGAGGAGGAGGAGGAGGAGGAGGAGGAGGAGGAGGAGGAGGAGGAGGAGGAGGAGGAGGAGGGGGAGGAGGAGGAGGAGGAGGAGGAGGAGGGGGAAGAGGAGGAGGAGGAGGAGGAAGAGGAGGAGGAGGGGGAGGACCGGAGAGTGCTCGGGCCACGGCTCGACCGCCTTGACAACAGCAGTGGCCCCAAGGGCCCCTCACAACACACATACATACGCACATGCGCCCTTCAATGGGCTGCTCTTTGGCCTCAATGGGAGGGTGGCGGTGCGTCTAAATCACCACCGGGAGCCAGCGATGCTGTACACCGTCGCCCTGCCTGATGGTGCATACGAAGTTCCTCGGAGGGTGTCTGTGTGTATGGGGCGTTCCAGAGAGGGCCTTGCCTTCGAGGATTGAAGGAGTTGTCATCTCTCCCGTGGCGGAAGGTGGCGGCAGTGCGGCGGAAGTAAGACGAGGCCGCCTCCGCCGGCGGAGGCCGGCGTAGGCTGGCGGAAGGGAGCGGAAGTGAAACAATTGCGCCCTCAAGAGAGGAAAACGCTTTTTGGGGCTCAGGGTTTCCGAAATTGCCCGAAGGTCTCCATGCGACAGTAAGAATGGAGAAGCGACTGCCATTAAGTCGGGCGCAGCCCTCTGCAGGAGGAATAATCAAAAATAGTTGAACAATTGTCTGGGGACGACTGTTTCCTCGTGATTGTTTTCGACTCTGTTGGAGCATTTTTGGGGTTATGCTTTATTTTTCCTCCGGACTCCGCCTGTAGGGGGACATGCCCGACCTTCACCACCCACCAAGCCACCCCAACCCAACCCGAAGGCTCAGATTTACCGTCGATTTCCAGCGGGGGGGGGTCGGGAAGCATCGAAAAAACGGATCTGGAACCCTTACCCCCCCCCAACCCGAAATTCGGGTCTTCGGGTTGGGTTGGGGTGGTCTGGTAGGTAGTCCGCATTAAGACTGCCAGGTCCCCGCCGTGCCATGCCGGCTGCGGGCCGCCCCCCCCCCTCCCCCCCGAGCCGCCGCAGGCAGCGGCGGGGCTCGCAGCGCGCGGAGGCCGCCGCGGCCGCCGCCGCGACCTCCATCCAGAAGGCCGTGGGCCCCCGTCCTTCGGAGGGGGGGGAGGGGGGGGAGGAGGGGGAGGGGCTAGGACAAGTTCGGTGCGCTCGCGTCAACATCTGACATCCTACCCCTCCCTCCCATCCCTTACCATGGCGCTGATTTTCTCTATCCGCGGACGCGTGTCGTAGCGGACCTGTGGTTCCGCGCGCGTGTGCGTAGTGGGTGGTGGTACGCGTGCGTGCGTGCGTGTGTGCGTGGTTGTGATTGTTGTGGTGGTGGTGGTGGTGTATATATATGTGTGTGTGTGCATGTGTGCGCGTGTGCTGTGGTGTGACGTGGTGTGGCGTCTTGGTGGTTTGGTGGTGGGCCAGGTGCGTACGTGCGTGATGGCGGTGGTGGTGGTGGCGTGTGGTGTGTGTGTGTGTGTGTGTGTGTGTGTGTGTGTGTGTGTGTGTGTGTGTGTGTGTGTGTGTGTGTGTGTGTGTGTGTGTGTGTGTGTGTGTGTGTGTGTGTGTGAGTGTGGTGGTGTGTGTGTGTGTGTGTGTGTGTGTGTGCGTGCGTGCGTGCGTGCGTGTGCGTGCGTGCGTGCGTGTGCGCGCGTGGTGCGTGCGTGCGTGCGTGTGTGTCTGTGTGTGCGCGCGTGTGATGTGGTGTGACGCGGTGTAGCGTGGTGGTGGTGGGTGGGGTAGTGCGGTGGTGGTGGCGGTGCGCGGTGGTGGTGCGCGTGCGTGCGTGCGTGCGTTGGTGGGTGGAAGTGGCGGTGGGTGTGCGTGCGGCGGGGCGGGGCGTGGTGCGGCGCGGTGGTGGCGGGCGGATGGGCGCGCGAGAAAGAGGCCCGCGCTGGGGCGAGAACGCCATCCTGAACGACGGAGGCAAACACCGATCCGAAAATGAGGCCCACGCTGCAGCGGGAGCACGATTCGGAACGATTCGGGAGCAGAAATGAGGCCGGCGCCTCAGCGAGAGCAGCATTTTGAAAAAAACGCAGGCGAAAACCCAACTCCCGGGAATCCTGTGTGTAAAAAACAGTACGCGGGGGGGGGTCGGCTACTCCCAGCACGCCATCAGGGGAAGAGGGAGAGTAGTATTCATATTGAGTAATTGTGGAGGAGGAGGAGGAGGAGGAGGAGGAGGAGGAGGAGGAGGAGGAGGACGAGAACGAGGAGGAGGAGGAGGCGGAGGAGGAGGACGAGGACGAGGACGAGGAGGAGGAGGAGGAGGGGGCGGAGGAGGCGGAGGGACGAGGAGGAGGAGGGTCCCCAGGTCCCCATACCGCTATGTACCCTGCCCTCGTTCTCCCCTGTCGGGGCCTCCTGGGAGGCCCTCGTCGACACCGCTGGATTCGCTTTGAAATTTTGGTCCATCACGCACCCCGAGAGAGAGGTCCCGGGGGGTAGCGGCATCAATACCTTTGGGTTTCCCCAGTCTTTCTCAAAGAACAAGAAAAGGCACAAACATCAGCCAGCGTTGATTCCAAATAGATGGACAGGAGACGAGCGAGAGAAGGAGAAGACGAGGAGGAGAGGACGGGAGGAGAGGAAGCCAAGCATGAAATGGCAAGCAAGAAGAAGCGAGCACAAAGAAGCGAGCAGCCATGCAAGTACGGAGAGCCATAGGAGTAAGCTTGTGTATATAGGCATTGACAGATAGGCATTGGCATAAGCATAGGGATCCATACGGCTCATAGGAATCTATAGGAATCCATCGGACTCGCCATTGGAAATAGCTGGGGGGTGCCATTGGAAATAAGGGGGTGTGCCAGTGGAAAAAAGGGGGGATAGGGGGGTGCCATCGGAAATAAGGGGGGTGCCATTGGAAAAAGGGGGGGAGGAGGGGGATGCCATGTGAAATAAGGGGGGGTGCCATTGGAAAAATGGGGGGGGGGCTAAAGACCAATTGCTTGTGATGAGCTAGGACTCCAATGGATTTTTCTTGGATCGGCGCTGGGTCGCGGATTGCGCCAGGGGCGGCGCCGGAGGCGCCGCTGGGGGGCCCAGCGCAGATCCAAGAAATCCACGCGGACCTCCAACAGCTTATGTTCATGCAGTCTTTCTCTTCCTGCGTAAACGGCTCCTCCTCGTGCTGCTGCCCCTCCTCCGCCGACTCTTTTTCCTCCTCCTCCTCCTCCTCCGTCTCAATCCGCACGGCTGCGGCACATTCTGCAAGGACAGGCGGCTGGGTCGCGGGCGGGGGCAGAGACAGCGGCGGCGGAGTGGCAATGTCTCCTCCTTCCGGTCCCCTCCCCCTCCTCCTCCTCCTCCTGCCTTCGTCCTCTTCGTGTCGCCCTGTTCGCAGGGGCCCTGAGACGGCACGCTCAAGTCCCGCGGGGGCGCGCCGCGCGATGAAGGTGAGCTCGGTATCCCGACTGCCTTGGGGACCGTGGGTTCCAATTTTTTTGTTGTGCTTGCCACTGGAGGCCTCCCTCCAGGGACGACTGCGAATATATGCCTCGAGTCCGGGCCCAGGCCTCGCGAGAGCAGTCACGACCGCCAGCCACCTCGCCAAGTCTTGAGCTCCCCAGGGGGCACGCTGTTCATGCGCCGGGGCCGTCAGGGCACGACCCGCGGCAGACACGGCGTATGTGCGTGTGTTTGTGTGTGTATGGGGCCCCGCCCGCCCGCGCCCTGTCTCCCCAATTGGTGCTTTGCGCGGCCCGCCTAGCTCTTCACCGGAAGAGGCTCGCTCTCGACCCGCAGACCAAAAAAGTGTTTGTGCGTATGTGTCTCTGCAGCCGGCCACGTGCAGCGCCCCGCGGACTTCACGGCAACTTGTGCCCATGCTTCAACCGGCGCGTTCCACGACTCGCAACGTGCCTCCTCGCGAAAGGCCATATACAACATCAAACACCCGCCCCGCTGTGATGGATCGCAACGTCTCTTCGGCGGATCCAGGCCATTTGCGAGTAGTTAGTTTGCGAGTAGTGGAACGGGCTTGCCTAATGCCATCAACCCTACGGTGATGTCACCCAGCTGGCCGAGGAACACGCACATGCGTGTGTGTGTGTGTGTTCTTGTGTGCTTGCCTCCCTGGTTGGTCGTCTCTTCGTCGTCGGTTTCCCTTGCGTTGCGACGGGTTCTTCTTGCGCGTGTGAAACATGTGTGTGCGCGCGCGTGTGTGGCCTCTCCTCGTTTTCAGGCCGTTGCATGTGCCCTTGGATTTGCAGTTCCTCTAACCCACCCTCCGCTTGCATGTTGCAGTGTGCGACACCTTTGCGCTGCGCTATCGACAATGCTCGGTCGCAAGTAGGACTCTCATCTGCTGTTCACGCCTGAGGACCCTCTGCGCCGCTGACTTAGAACTGTGTGTGTTAGTGGCCGAGTGTGTGTGTGTGTGTGTGAGTGTGTGTACCCCATCTTACTGTTTCCGGTCCCACCCTCAATAGTGCAGTCCTGGCGCTGGAAAGTGCGAGCGTAGTTTTGGCACGAGGGCTTTTCCGCTGAAGAACAACGTCATCGTTATCTCCTCTATCCTGCGGACCCTTGGGGTGGTTACTTCCACAGGAAGCCAATCGCTCTTTCTTGATTCTTAAAGTCAGAATGCTCGCGTTGTGGGGTGGCGGACTTCACCGACAGGCTCCGCATGGCATCTGATCAAAATCATGCATTTTCGAAATCCGACCCACAGTTGACAAGAATCTTGAGTCGTGGTGCTCTCCGTTACGAGTGAGATTATACAAGAGCCCGTGTCGAATCCTATCGAGGATCTTCTGGATATGAGGTCTGCTGTCTGCTCCATTACTGTTGAGATCCCACTTAAAATTCGATTAGAATTAAATGAGAATCCTCTGGGCCTGATGTCTGCTCTGTTCTTACTGGAATCGCATACGGGTCCACATAGCAACGAGGAGAGTCCAATGGATCTATCTGTGATGTGCCCGATTCTTATTGGAATTATATTATTACTCTACGCGGGTCCAGCTGGGATCCTCTGGATATGGAATATGATCCGTTCGGCTTCGACCCAGTCATTATCTCATTCCAATCCCGCGGTAATCTTCTGGACCTGACGTGTGCTCGGTCATTCATGAAAGCGCATTGAAGTTTCGTTCAAATATACAGGGAGTCCTCTGGATCAGAGTGTGTTGCATCTCTTTCGAGATCCTATGCGAGTTGTGCTGGAATCGAATCAGAATCATCTGGGTCTGATGTGTGCCCCGTTTCTGTTGAGATCCTGTTGGGGTCCTATCAGGATGAACGGATCAGACCACATATCCATAGGATTCTCTATTGGATTCGACAGCGGTCCTGATGTAATCCCAATAGTAGCGGGGCAGATTCCAAATCCAGCGGGTTCCTGTTAGATTTGAGCCGGATGTTGATATGATGTCGTTTGGAATGGGGCAGACCCCAGACTCATTGTACTCCTTTGGCGTTCGGATCGATTTCCAACGAGACTTCAATCGGATCGGAGTAGGCATCACATCCAGACGATGATCATCCATTCCTTCCTCCGTTACATAAATTCGAGAGAGAGAGAGAGAGAGAGACAGAGACAGAGAGACAGACAGAGAGAGAGGGAAAGTACGAGAGAGAGAGAGAGAACGGGATAGAGCGACAGAGAGAGGGAGCCAGAGAGCCAGGCAGAGAGCGCGCGCGAGAGGGGGAGAGAGAAACAGGAAACAAAGCAGGAGGGGCGCGATAGATAGAGCGAGAGAAACAGAAGGAGAGAGCGCGAGAGATAGACCGAGAGACCGGCGCGATATATGATACCAAGTACCAATGCATGGTGGGTTTTCCCATGGGGTCGCAGACTTTCCGTTGGGCTTCGTGAGCCTTCAAGGGCCTTCAAGGATCTTTTTCATGATATTTGGAGGCTTATGTCAGACATGACGGGCCTGCAGGGGTCCGTAAGGATTCTTACGGGCTCGTTCAGGGACTCATAAGGGTTCATTCGGCGTGCCTGCAGTTCCGCGTGGATGCCTGGGTGTCGGGTACTACCGCCGAGGATCCCCCAGGGTTCCGTTTGGATGCCTTTCGGGTTCTTTTGGGATCCGTGGCGGTGCCTTAATGTTCCGCGAGGTTCGTTAAGCA